CCCCTATAAAGCCATTTCTTCCTGTAGAATCCCACCCTCCAGCCAAAGGAATGCCAAAGTTCAACAGGGGCTTCGTGCAAAGCACCTTTATGGAATAAATGTAGAGACTCCTAGCTCTCCCTGCACTAAAATTTTCAGGACGCAAACCTATTTCTCTCTTTCTTTTTTTTTTTTGTGGTACACGGGCCTCTAACTGTTGTGGCCTCTCCCGTTGCGGAGCACAGGCTCCGGACTGGGGCACGAACCCATGTCCCTTGCATCAGCAGGCAGACTCTCAACCACTGCACCACCAGGGAAGCCCTGTATTTCTCTTTAAACTTTCCCCTCTCATTGTGCCAATGAGTAAGCAAGTTGGATGCTCAGCCATGTGTCTCAAGATGCGGACAGAAGGAATGGGAATTCTCACCTGCTACCACACCCATCCCCACCCCCAGCAGGTTGAGGCCTCTGCCCAGCTCTCTGGCTGCAGAACTTCCTCCCCTCCCATGGGGTTCACCTTAGAACTCAGCTCAGTCCATCTGGCAGAGAGCTTGTGGAGATGGGAGTCATCTGAGGTGACAGGGACAGGAGTCCCTGGTGAGCCCTGACTCAGGTGGCCAGGAATGGAGCTCTCCAGCTGGTCTTCACAAAGAGGATGTAACTCTTGCCCGAGGTTTTGGTTGTAAGGCCTGGGAGGCCGGGAGGCCAGGAATGTGACCTCTGACTCTCCAATCTGCCCCGTGGTGAGAGGGGCACTGGCCAGAGGGAGGAGCAGATTGCCTCCGGGACAATTGCATTCAGGCACTGGGCACCAACTGGGTGCCAAGAACGTAATCCCCACATCAACCCTGGCAGATGGGTTTTAGTATTTCCATTTTACAAATAAGAAAGCAGAAGCTTGGGGACATTAAGAAAGCACCTTGCCCAAAGACGCTGTGTAGCAAGTGGCGGTCAGTCCTGATGTTCAGGTCAGCACTTCTCTGTCTGCAGAAGGTAGAGATTCCCTTGGGGATCTGGTAACTGATGCAGGTGGGCTTAGTGCAAGAGGCCACTGGGAGTGACCCCGCTCAGGCAGTTCTGCAAGATCTGTTTTAGGTGCTCTGGGTCTAAGGCATTGTGCTGGGGCTTAGGGATCAGGGCTGGATAAATCCCTTTCCAGGTTTTTTGGGTAACATTTCCCTCCCCGCCTTCCCCAGCCCCGGCCCCTTCTCCATACAACAGTTCACCTGGACTGAGCTGTCTGCTGTCCTCCCCCACTGAACAGCAAGGTTGGGGAGTAATGTGGCAGGGGGAACAGTATAGAGAAGTGAATGAGCAAATACCCTTTCTGCTACCTAGCAGACCCCCACTACAGGTGAAGCAGACAAAGTAATCCCCTAGGGCCTCCTCTGGGCCAGGAAGTCTGTGCTGTCTGACTCAGATCCCACTTGCCGGGGTAGTTCCTCTCATTTGGCTTCTAAGCACCCTCCTTCTGTGAAACAGCTTTCAGAGGCTTGAAATCTGCCACTCTAGTCTCTTCATTTTTGCAAATGTCACATTAGAGAGAACAGGGCGATTTAGTCTCTGCCTGCCTTGTGTCCATGGTTACTTCTTGCATCCCTCTCCTCCTCGTATTGTGTGCTCTAAACATACCAGCCTTATTTCAGACTTTCGCACTTGCTACCACAGGCCCTTTGCACATGCTGTAGCCTCTTCCCACACCATCCATGGCCTCTCACTGAGTTCAGGGCTCAGCTCCGTATGTCACTTCTAAAAGGAAATTTGTTATTCCCACAACCCCTCCTCCCACCTTGATGTCAGGACCTCCCATTCCACATCTCCACAGCACCCTGTACTTGTCCTGGGTGATTGATTAATGTCTGCCTCCCATCAGACTGTCACCTCCATGAGGATAGGGCCATAGTGCGTTTGCTCCCAGGATATCCGCAGCAGCTGCACAGGCCTTGATCTAGAGCAGCCAGCCGCACAATAAATACTTGTTGCCTGAAGGATTGCAGGAGCCTCTACCTCATCTACTGGTATAGGGTGTGGCCTTAGGCCTGGAATGAGACCAAAGCAAGCTGTCTCAGCCTCAGTTGTGTTGCAACC